TGATATTTTCAGATTTGTTAACAGTGCCCAATGCAACATGAAGGTCTCTTATCTGAAAACATGGTCAGAATCGACCGCTGATAATCAGCGCATTCGCACTTACTTTATCAGAGAGTCTATGAAATACTCGCATCAATACCTTATAAAACTTCAGTTGTAAAACGGCACAAACCTTTGGTATTGCAGTCTCAATTCTTTGAGTACTTCGTCATAGTGTTTAATCCTTTCATCCGCCATAGCCCCAAGATCAACGGCGAATTGCTTGACGCCGGTTTGCAGTTGCTCGACTAGAGACATAAAACCCTATAAAACTGCTGTATTCAAGGTTAAATGAATTTTTGACGCACATTTTGAAGAGATATCGGGAGTTGTTTCGAGATCTTTCCGGAGTTTCTATTATACCCAGTGTGAGTGGATTCGCAACGCACAAGTTCGGCAAGGGCGCAAACCTCGCTCATTTCTTTAATGATTTTCGCTTTGTCTGCGAGGGAAGTCCCCGAGCTGAGTACAGAAGGCAGTAGTTTGCCCGTGAACTCTTTGGGTGTTTCAGTCAAGGTTTATGCAATCGTATAATATCCGACACACCATCAGCCGCCATCCGATTTTTTCTAGCAGCTTCGACTGAGGTGATAAGAAGCAGCACGAATTCCTGTAATTGTAATAGGTAAAGGTAAAAAGGCTTTTATCTTCGGGAACCCACATTATGGAATTTGCTCCACTGCTTCCCCAGTTGAAGGGATTTCACAAGGACCTCGCCAACTCCTCCCTGAAGCTCTGCAGCATCGAGCAATCCTGCCACAGTTTTGAAATCATTGACGGCAGATAAAGCACGCGCGAACAGTTCCTCAGAGTCTTGATCGATCTCATCTTCAGCTGCTTTGGCAGCCGCACCGAATTCTTCAACAGCAGTAGTGAGCGTTCGAGTATCAAGTGGCTTGATATCTGCGATGGTTTGACTGAGAGCCCTTTGCAAGTCGTCTGGACTGTAGGCGGGAGGTGCAATATCAGCCATATTTCCGGTAATCTGAGAGGTACTGTGATGAACCTGTGATGAAGAAATCTAGCTCAGGCTACTTATACAGGGGGAATTTAAAGCTTCCATTCGATGATGCACACAATGGCAAATCTGGAAGATACTGTAGGCTGCATCATGGGAATAATGGAGCTCAACTGCTTGTGCCGATTTATATTCCATGCAACCTGTCCATCATATATCTAATTCTGATGAGCATCCGACAGCTTCGATGATTCGAAGACGGAATTCGCACCTAATCGCAAGCCTCCTCGCTACATCGAGTTTTGCCAAAGGATATTCGGGACCTGGTCGGGACCATGGCATTGTCTGCAATAGAATGCAATAGAATGGAGTCAAACACGGGGTGCCATTTACTGATATGATTCGAGGGTGGAAACTTTCTGGTCAACGTTGGCTCCACAAATCGCCTTGCTGTAAGGCAGCTAAAATGGAAAATCGCAGCGTCTCAGTCTGATATGATTCGAGAGTCGAAATCCGGTCAGCGCTTCAGCAACGTTGGCTCCACAAGAATTCTAATCGGCTTCAGTATCGCTTGTTTTATGTAAGCTGTGGACGTTGCAATTGTGAACTTGGACACTCGAAAGACTCATAAGTAGAGCGTCTTTATACTTTTGCATATGATCATAATCTGCTCTAATTACGTCTTGCTTATACTTGATGTCACTATCACAGACTAGCAGGTCACGAATTTTGACTTCATCTTCATTGATCAATGATACAGCTGGAAAGATACCCTACAACTTGAGCTTATGTGCTAGTAATGATTTAAACGGGAAGAAGTCCGTTCTTGCCCATGAGAGCACTCTCGTACTTGCCAAGATGTTTAGACAACAACGGGTACATCATTTGGTAGGTGGTGGATATTTTGGCAAGGAGCTAATTATACAACCTGTGGTCAGCAAAGATCTCAAAAGATTATCGGCGACGGTTGTAACATACCTCCAAAGTGTTGACAATCGATTGAATGTCGGTAAGAAGCTGTTCGTTCGATGAGAAGTAAAATTATCTGTAATATAATCACACATACTGATTCCTTCGTTTGAGTGAAATATGGAATGCGTTCCACAACATTTTCCAGCTTGAGGACAATGTCGTCAAGAGTTGTCTTGATGGTTTTGCCACCTTCTTTCAGTATTTCACCTCGTTTTTTTCCGGCCTCAATGATTTTCTTGTTGATGTCTATAGAACGAGATGGATACATCAGTTGACCCGCAATACAATTTACTTGAGAAAAACATACCTGCTTGTTCTTTCGTTGCCCTGTCAAGCTGTTCAAACAAGTCTGGGTTTGGAATACTTTGACAAGCGTTCTTGACAATATCGATCTAAGGTCGCTGTTTAAATTAACAAGCAAAAGAACTAAAGACGAGTACTGACTGAGGTACTCAACCCCCAATTAGGAGAGATCTCGGAAAGGGTGTCGTGGATATTTGGGGACTCGGTAAAAATGCCCAATGCAACATAAAGCTCTCTGATCTAGAAATGTTGTGGTCACGATCGATCGTTGATAATCAGTGTATTTGCACTCACTTTCTTAGCTAGTCTATGAAAAACTTGCATCAATATCTTCCCGGTAAAAGTTTAATCATCAAGATACGAACCTCTGAGATTGCGCTGCTAATGCTTTGAGTACTTCAGTGTAGTGTTTAATCCTTTCATCCGTGATAGCCCCAAGATCAATAGCGAGTTGCTTGACACCGGTTTGCAGTTGCTCGACTGGACGCATCGGAAGCACAAGTTAACACCATATAAAACTGCTGTATTCAAGGTCGCATCAAGTTTTGACGCACATTTTGAATCAATATCTGGAGTTGTTTCGAGATCTTTCCGGAGTTTCTATTATGCTCAGCGTAAGTGGGTTCAAAACGACCAAGTTCGAAAATGCGCAAACCTCACTCATTGCTTTAATGTTTGCCGCTTTCTCTGTGAGGGAAGTTCCCGAGCCGAGTATGGCGGGCAGCAGTTTGCCCGTGAATTCTTTGAATATTTCAGTCGAAATTCTATGTGATCGCATGATATCCAACGCACCATCAGCCGCCATCCGATTTTTCCTAGCAGCTTCGACTGAGGTGATAAGAAGTAGCACGAATTCCTGGAATTGTAATAGGTAAAGTTTATCTTTGAGATCTTGAGAACTCACATTATGGAATTTGCTCCACTGTTTTCCCAGTTGAAGGGATTTCACAAGGACCTCGCCACCTTCCCCCTGAAGCCCTGGGGCATCAAGCAATCCTGCCACAGTTTTGAAATCATTGGCAATGGATAAAGCACGCGCAAACAGTTCCTCAGAGTCTTGATCGATCTCATCTTCAGCTGCTTTGGCAGCCGCACCGAATTTTTCAACAGCGGTAGTGAGTGTTCGAGTATCGAGTGGCTTGATCACCGCGATGGTTTTATTTAGATCCTTTTCCAAGTCATCTTGACTGTAGGCGGGAGGTGCAGTATCAGCCATGTTTCCGGCAATCTGAGAGGTACTGTGACGAACCTGTGGAAAAAGAAACTAGCTACTTATACAGGGGAAAGTTTAAGAAGCTCTGGCTTCCATTAGGGGACGCGCACAGATGACAAATCTGCAAGATATGCTGCATCATGGCAATATTGGAGCTCGACTGCTTGTTTCATTTAAATTCCATACAACCTGTCCAGATAAGCATCAAATTCTGATGAGCATCTGACAGCTTCGAAAATTCGAAGCAGCTAATCGCAAGCCTCTTCGCTATGCCATCGAGTTTCGCCAACGGAGATTCGGATCCTGGTCGGGACCGTGGCATGTCTGCAATATATAGAAAGGAAAATCACAGACGTACTATCTTGCCGGTCTGATATGATTCGAGAGCCAAAATCTGGTCAGCACGTTGGCTCCGCAAGAAATTCTAATCCGCTTTAGTATTCGTTGTTCGTATAAGCTGTGAACTGGAATTTCAAAATGATAACATAATCTGAGGTATTGAACGAACCTGTGAAGAAGGAAACCAGCTACTATACAGGGGGCAGCTTGAAGATCTGATGCGCACAAATGAAAAGATATGCTGTATCACGGGGAAACTATACAATATCATTCTGATGATATCTGACAGCTCCGATGATAGAAATCGCAGGCCTCCTCGGTACGCCATTGAGTTTCGCCATATGGACATCAGATCCTGGTCGGGACCATGGCGTTGTCTGCAATTGAATGGAACAGAATAGAATCAAACACGGCGTGCCATTTACTGATATGATTCGAGGGTGGAAACTTTCTGGTCAACGTTGGCTCCACAACAGGTTCTAATCGCCTTGCTGTAAATACTTGTTAGAAGGTGGGAAATTGGACTCTCGAGCTGATGACCTAAATATCAGATACGTCGATTAGAGTGCATTCACAATCGTGTTTCCACTTGCAAGGGTGGGGCTACTAAGTTATCAGTGCCGCGTTTACAGAGTTTAAATTTTTTGGCAGAGGTTTCGTTATACCTTCGACGAACACTTAGTACTAGTAAGATTGGAACTGCTTCCTTGGTCAAGAAACCTTCGTTTTGGCGGTTGTGAATACGCTCTATCATATAGGAGGCAAGAGCAGGTACATACTTAGAGTTCACTTTGACTGGTTTGACCGGGTTCTTCTGCTTTTCGTTTCTTCAATCCTTGCGTGCAGGCAGCGAAGATCTGTGAGGTATTTAAAACGACAAACGAGTTCAAGCTTTCAAGAGAGTGGTCACTTAACTCGGATTGAGTAACCGATCAGCCTGAGCGCTTCAGCTCCTCGTTACATAGGCTTCTCATTTTAAGTAAGTACAGTAAAGCAAATTATGGATCGCATTCTGGAAGTACTCACTGGCACGAATACCAGCGACATGATTCGGAGTCGACGAAACCTTGACGATTCCGAATCCTGCAAAAAAACATGTAGGTTGAGATGCACACAAAACGAATTGTTATAAAGCCACTATTAGTATTGACGAATGAAAAAATGAGGCAAAAAAATCTCTCTGCCTGGGAGTCGAACCCAGCTCTGCCGCGACCCATCGTATGACAGGCGGCTGTACTATCCGATATACTAGCAAAGACATACTTAAACATTTCCGAATTCCTATTATAAGTATATCGTCGTATCTTGAGTAGGTCGCCAAGATCGATCGTTTAACATTCTTGAATTTCTTCGTCGCTTGCAATCATGTCCTTTTACACTCCAACTTCTAGGCTGAAACTGGCAGGGAAAATCCTTGTTATTGTGCGTCTGTGATTTCTTAACTTTCTATTACGCCTTCTGAGAGACACGATCCAAGCCAGCCTGTTGTTTCGGTGGCAAATGTGCCTCAACTTGCTGTTGATCTGCTGATTACCTCCCTTGCGCTAAGTCGCGTTGGTGTATTTGATCCAAAGCTCCTCGTCCCAGTCGTTGGTGCGCGCGAAGATGGGCTTCCCGGAATTACCACACCTCTCGAATGTGAGTCTTCCTTGACGCGATGCTTTCCTATGCGGCATGCCTGATTACATTCGACTTTAGTGTATGCAAGCGAAGCACAGAATATTGCTGTTATTCAACAGCGTTCTCCGACATTAAAAGTGAGGAAGAATATATTTGAGATCATATTTTTCCTGATTACGCGCTTTCCAGGCTTTTAAACAGGAATTCGTTGATGCTCTCCTACAATTCATCAGCGCGTCGGGAGCATCTGCCGCTCTCTTTCTAGGCAGCGTAGATATGTCAAACAGAACTGATTCTCAGATGCTGTGAGGTTTTACCTGTGCATTTATACACCATTTACGAATTTTAGCCCGCAGAACTCCCACATGCCATATTATCCCAACAACCTCAGCCCCTATAACATCAAGTCCGCTGTCCACACTTACAGAGTTGCCGATCCCTGCCTATATATCTCCCGTTCCCCAGTTTACCGAGGCTGGCATCGATGATCAACGCGTCCCATTTATCCCTGGCGGTGGTCTCAGTCGTCGAATTTTATCCTCTATACCGCATACCTGGCAGATACCTACTGCGTCTCTGCTCCAATATGTCATGGAAGGCGACAATAGGGACGACGCACAACTTATGGCAGCGGTAACTTCTAAAGTATTAGCCAGTGACGTGCAAATCTGGAAGCAACCAAGCAGTTGGTCGCAAGGCCTATTCGGGGCCCCTCATGACCAAACGCTCTATGGTTAAGTAGAATATTACATCCAAATTACTTCTGTATATCAGCTCGGCTTAAGATAGTAAAGGGGCGTCAATCCTAAGACTGGCATGATAGATACATTTGAAGTGAGTTTTGTGATTTTGTACCCTATCGTACCCTTTGAAAAACTGACAAAGACATTCGGCAGTACACACTGTCTTTGAAAAGGACAATAATTTGAATAAATCTCATGCCGCATTTTTTGTCCCTGAGATTCCAGTGAGGATGATATGCATCCAGCTACAGCTCATGATCATTAGAAGTAACTTGGGGTAGATTGCACAAGTCCCTAAGTTGTCAAGATTTCTCGCCAAAGGATAGAAACTAGAACCCTCCAACACCTTATATTCGTCCGACCGTGATATTATATCATGTTGTCGTTGCTCCTGATCAAGCCTTTGCGCCCGGTGAATAATCATGACGAATAAAGCGCCCTCAGAGTGTTTTTGGTCCAAAGACTTAATCCTTGAATACCCTTGTTCATGGCGTGCGTAGAGGATTACAACGAAAGATGTGATTGGGCATTGTGAGCACACAGATAATGAAAAGGACTGAGTATTGCTTCCGTGGTACAATGGCACGCCTGTTTGTACGTATTTGTATGATGTTGGATGCATCCGCCACGAGGCTAATTAGTCTGATCGCTATACTTCATTTTGTAGTATATCTGCTGTATTCTCTATTTTCCGTTCCGATATTCTCCAACGTTGTCCTGCAACATCCCTCCAACTTTTGCTCTTTAACTCTTTCGTATACATTACACTTTCTGCGACACCTCTCTCCGAAACTCCCAATTTTGCTATCTTTATATCTGCGGTCTTGTCATTTCCAACCAAATGTCTTTCGCCGACGCACAATCGGAAACTCTCAGACCTATTTTGCTCCGTTCAAGTACTCCAGGTACGCAATCTGTGCTTCGTGAATGCGTGGACAATATTCTGACGCCCTATCTCCTACAACGCAGCTCCACAAGAGAAAGGTTAGCCCCATTACTGGCTACAAGATCGCCTCGAACTTAATGTTATCTTTGAATTTCCAGTACTTCTCTATCTAGAAAGCCTTCGTGAATCAAAGTTTATGGGATCACCAAACTCAACTGGTCATCCAAATCTCGCGTCGTCCGTGAAGCCGAGCGCATTGGGTATTGACGAGGATGATGGTGATGACCTCGATTCAAATGTTCAAGAAGGAAGGATGACGATTGGGCCACAATCTACAGGCATGGTGAGCTTCACGACTTTATGATTCAGTTTCTGTGGCGCCCATGTTGAACCACGTGCTGGCAGCCCGAACCTGGTCCTCAGGATCCTCCTGGGCCACGATACGAGTCATTTGATTCTGGTCCGTCTTTTGGTAATTTTGGGCCATTGCCCGACCATTCCGCGAACAATGCAATGCCTCCGTGGAGCACATGGGAGGTGAGTTTGGGGCTTCCACATTTTCACCATTATAAACGAATGGTTATTAATTCGCGCCCAGCCCAATTTTAACAACACCCCATTTACTGAAGCTAAAGTTCCCCTTCCCATGTCGGTCGCGTCACCGCGGTCACAATCATTTCAAATCAATATCGAGCCACCATCCACTCCAAGTGGATCCAAGTCGCGTCGGTCTCCTTCACAAGTCAGCGGTGCGGTTCAGATGAAATCTCATAAATCCGCGTCAGTAGTAGAGAGCGAATCCCGTGTCACGGTCACCGCTCGTAGCGTGAGTGACCACGATCATTATCCCGGAGGTTTAATCAACTGACTCACTTCCAGCACAAACCTCAGAGTAAAGCACCAACGATTCAAACAACTAATATACAAGGTGGTGATGAGCCTCCCGTGTCCCCGTCACGTCGGTCTCGGGCTGGATCAAAATCTCGTGCAGGAACAGAATATCCTCCGTTACCCCCGAGTACATTACTGAGTCCATCCGGTCGGACCACACAACTCCCCAGCTCACCGCGCTCACACCGCCGTGAGCCAAGTGTATCACCCTCTGACTCACCAAGCCAGGCACCATTGAAAGCGGCCAGAAATGCCGCTAAAGAGAAGGAGAAGGTCAAATCGGTGATAAGTGCGACGAGTGAAGTGGACGCTGCTGTGTCGAAGAAGAGCGGTCCTCTGAGCGCTGCTGGCAGCCCAATGTCGCCTTCGCACCACAACCGACCATTTTCTCCTTATCGTCATGCTGCAACGCACGAGGACTTGCTGTTTGCCGCCACTTCGGCCGCACAAATGCAAAAACAATCGTCAGTGGTGAATGGGGGTGGTAGTAAAGTTTCGCACGTATCGCACCAGTCACATCAGTCCAGACAAACGCGCACTCACAGATCGCATTCTCGAGTCGAAGATGATGCTGAAGCCACCCCCACTCCGTCGCGTCCGAACTCGCCTTCTTTCTCTTTGAATCAAGCAGAAGAAGAGATGGTTGCACAGGCGCTTGCCGCTCGAGGAGCACGTGACCGAACGTCATATGCTCCCAGCACGTTGGAACCAGAAATCGTCAACTCCCATTTCCATGATATGGATTTGTGTATTCTGATGCATCAGATGGACGATTCGACTACCCACGAAATTGTGAAAAAGGCCCTTCGGAAGGCCGTCAGACAGCGAGTCAAGAAGCTAGGGATGAAGTATGATCAGGAGGTTGGTTTACTCCCGGAATACATGTCGAAGTCGTTGCTAACCATTGTCTTCAGTCCATCAAACAGTACAGGAAATCATTTCACGACCATGATCCGAGTGTACACCTCGACGCAGACTTTGAGCTTCTTAGTCAGGTAATAACCCTTTTTTATCTACCACTTCGCGTTTTTTTAATTACCTCTCTCAGGAACCTCCGGAATGGGCCAAAGAACTCATGAATGGTATGATCAGGGTGCAAGAGCGATTGGACGTTCTAAGTCCGGTTTCCGGCCCCGCCAGCATGCCGCCACGCAGTCAGCAGTCTTATGCCGAGTCAAACGATTCTCGTCAACAGTATCACGGTGACACAGAATACACGGACGGAGGTGATCAATACGGTCAGACACCGCGCACGCAGACTGTGAATATTAACACACAAGCAACGGGAACGCTAGCAGAATCAATGTATCAGCCAGGTGAGACTGAGATTATGGGTGAGTTCGTCTTCAATCTAGTCAAGGTTTGAGTATTTCTAATTCGCTTGGAGAAGATGGCGAAGTGTATGGCGACGACGACGATGACCATGGGGAGCGACGGTTCGCCCCAACGGTTACAGAGACTCGCAGCGAATTCTTAGTTGGCGACAGAGACGGCTCAGGGGGACAGCAATACTTAGAAGAAGAACTTTATAAATTGCGCGTCAAGCCTGGTGGTAGTCAATCTGGGATTACTCACAAGACATGGGAGGTGGCGAGGGATGATCAAGGCGAATACGAAGAAGGTCATGGAGCATTTACAGAGTCAGGCATGCCGGAAATACCAGACTCGGGCAACTATACAGATCGACGCCCAAATTCTCCACCACTCCCTCCTTTGCCTACGCCACAAGACGGTAGCCGCCGCGATATGATCGCCTCGCCACATTCGCAAATGTGGAATCCCGTACTGAATGAATATGGCGAACAACTTCCACCGCCATGGCAAAGAATTCATCAACGTTTGTTAAGCTGGGCAATCATCTGGCCTTTGAGCGAGCTAGAGACTGCATTGAACAGCACAACTCGTGGTCAGCAGGTCGACGAAGTTGCGCTGAGCATTTGGTCAACCCAAACATACAAGCGATATGTTAGGAGTCGGATGACCGACACACCTGGTGGTAAGGTGGATAGGTTATTTGTCCCTCCGAATATGGCAGATGCGATAAGCACAGCGGTATTCAATGGACGCCATGGAGATGCATGTGGGATGCTAAGGGATCTTTGGTCACCGTTTGGACTC